GACGAGCGTGTCAACTTTATGCGAGATCATTATTTTGTGGCGCGCGTTCTCGCCAGAAAAGCGGAAACGCGCGTGACAAGAATCGGCTAAAAGTATCTGTGATTATTGACAATATTCGCTGTTCGATTGTCGTCTAAATGTGTAGAGCGATAAGAAGCTTCGAAGGATTGAGAGAGCCTTAACATTCAAATCTGTATGTTACTGTTATCGTGTAGTCCCGTTACGAGTCGACAAATAAATATATTGAGAAATATTTACGATACAATCACGGCTTTTTTTTTATCTTTGCCCCATTAACGTTACAAAAGCCAGAAATAAATTAATTAATCACGGTAACATTGATACTTTTATCTCCTGCAAGCTGCTTTAATCTCTCTTTAGTCATCGACCAGTGATTTCAACGGGGATATCTTTACTTTTCGAAAGCAAAGTTTCGTTTTTAGATTAATTATTGAACTTAATTCATTCGAAAATATCTTTAAAAAAGAAAAAAATAATAATAGTATTGAATAAATACAAGTGAAATAATTATAGTAGCCAGTAGAAAAAGTAGAAGATGGATTGAAAAAATAAATGCAATAAAATAGTACATAAAAAAAAAAAAGGAAAAGGGAGTGAGATACTCTATATATATGCGCTTTTTTTTTAAGACAGCAAGTTGAAATGAAGAAGAAATTAATTTTATTAATTTTATTAATTTTGTCTGTTGATCATGCAGAGTAGTCCTTTCTTCTTTTCTAATTTTCCATTTGTACAGAAAATAAAAATTTCTACGTTATCGACTGTTAAAAAAAAAGAAAAAACTCGAACTTGACATGACCGAATATATTTTTTAAACACTTTTTTAACTGATTTCATTTATTTCTACATACTTATATTCCCCTAATATGATACTTTATTTCCGAGATCGTTGGGCACTCTTGAGGACTGTCTTCTAATAAGAATAACAGGAGAACATAGAACGCAGGAAACGTGCGCCAACTTCTCACTGGACTGTTCTCCTAGTAAGAAAATCGCGCGAGGGGGATAACAGAGGAGCATAAAGTGCAGCAAGCGAGTCATCGTTTAATTAACTCTTAACAGTTATGTTCCGCTGGTGAGCATGTTGGACGCGCAATAACAATAAAGCAGAATTACAAAAGAGATATCGGATGATCTCTTTTGTCATTCTGTTCTCCTAGTGAGAGAATTCATTTTTCGACGCTTGAAGAACGTCGATAGAAGCTTCCTGAATACAGAAGAGAATAACACAATCGAAAGACGACCAGAAAGGTACGCATGATGTACGTATAAAGTGTCTGAATGCAACTGTTGGTTAACAAACGACCAACTTGTTTTAAAATTATTCAGATGTTTAAGACAATAGAAAATAATTCTAAATCTGCAAAGATTTTGTTTTACTATTAGAAATGATTTATTATTGAATATATTTTGAACTGATTGTGTACGAAAATATAATTATGTTTTTTTTTCTTTCAAATTTTTTTTAGCCGTAATATATATCAGTCGAGGAACACAAGTAAAAGTTTGTTATTTATTATAAATGTCTCAATTTTTATCAAGACAATCAAATCTATTTCTAAAAAATACATTGCTACTATATGTATATATTATAAATGTATAATTTTTATATGAATGGTATAAAATATATACAGGGCAAAAGTTGAGGTCTCAGTTAGACAAGTGTAACTGCGAAAAGTGTTAAATTAATCTTTTCAAATGTTTGCCAATTAAATATTACACGAGCCAGTATTTCGATCTATTTGAATAGAATTTGCAAAACGTCATACATGTATTTTATGAATCTTTGTACATGTATGGGATATTGAAAGAAAGTTAAGGATCTAATTAGACAAATGAAATTTTTAAAATGTTCGCAAATTAATCCTCTTAACTAATCTTTTTTAGAAATGAAAATTTGATCAATTTATGCATATTGTAGCGCCACGTAGCGCTGAATTTATTGAACTAATTAATTTCTTTAGTTTATAACAGATGACAGAACGTTTTTCCGATCGATAATATAGTTAGGTAATGTAGATTCTGTTTTTAGCGATCCAATCAGATTGTTACTTTATCGACTAAGTCAATTATTTAGTTCTTCTTTAAACTTTAGTCAATTCTATATTAGGATTAACTAGAATGGACTGGATTCAATGCATTTTTATGTTCCATGCTTTGGGCACAGACGAGTATATACCTCAATTTTGAAACTGAAAAATTGACACTGTCCAATAGATAATAGCACCTTTGAAACTGAAATTGTATCTTAAAAACTTAGTTCCACCATTTCAACGCTATGTGACGCTAGCATTTCAATGTCCATAAATTTGAATCAAACTATAAGATAAGCTAATTAGAAGGATTAATTTGCAAACATTTTTAATTGTATCTTTCAAATTAGACCCTCAGCTTTGCTTCAATATCTAATTTATGTATAAAATATTTTCTCAAGCAGAACAAAACCATCGCTCAAATAATATATAATTTCTGTCAAACTGTTCTGAAAATTTGAATTAAAATTTTGTTATGTTTGAGTAAAAATATAGTTAGAAATGCGCATAACAAGTTTTACACACGGTATTATTCTTTATTTAATAAAGACAACTATCGTACGAATAAATTGAATATCACTAGAAGATATTCTAACTTGTATGTTCCTGGAAAAAAATGATAAAAAAATGTATTAGGCAATTTTGTAATTCTAGAGACATCTCCAATTTTATAGAACATCTGAAATCTGATGATACATCCACCTAATCACAAATCCAAGCATGCTTCGACGACTCGAACCGGTTTTCAGGTAAACGAGTAACCCACTGAATTAACGGTAGAAACTCGTTGCAGTATTTTTATGGTACATCGTAAACACGTCAAGTTTTTTCTTTTATTTCTTGTTGTAAAAAATATCCTCCATCGATTTACCATCATTTTTATATTTTTCTAATTCTAGCTCGTGTTTAAAGCAAATTTAGCATTTAGCTAAAAGATTTTGTATTTCGAAAAGTTGATGGCACTTGTCGAATTTTAGACAGTTCTTGTCATCTTCAAATTTTCCCCAAAAGCATAAAACTTTCATAATCATTAACTCTTCATATTTGTTATTTCAAATTTTATTATTTAAAATTTGCTGAATTTTATTCTTCGATATTAATGGACAAAACTTGTTGCTATTCAACGAACTAACAAAATACTTTTACCAAGAAAACCAACGTTGGTATTAATCGTAACGATTTAGCTATCGAACCTTACGAAAATTGGAAACTCAACGTTTGAACACTTTTTCATGGACCGACTATGCGTGAATTTTTAGTCGTAAATAAAATGGATTATCGAACTCCCGATAGACGAGTAAAGGGGACAAGAGTGTTATATTAAAAATGGTAAAAAAAAGGGAACATTTAAACTGTATTATCGCCGTGAGATCTCTCGCGACCCTTTATTACCATTTTTCTTACTTTTTTTTTTCGTTTATCACAGTCGATGCTACGAAATACACAAACAGATTGCTTCTCACGTGTTCAACAATAAATATAGAAGGGAAGGGGAGGAAAACTCACAATATAATCAACGTTAGCAGGGGAAAAATGAACAATGTCAACAGGACATTCTTCTACTGTCGCACATTCTCTCTCTCTCGCAGAATAAATGTCCATTCAAAACCGTACAGCACACGTTTCAGAAGAAAACGAAGTTAGGAGGAGGAGGAGGAGCGAAAACTTTCAGCACGCAGTTTCAGCTGGCACATTGAAAGCTGACACTCGCTATTACGCGAGTACGAAGTTCCTTTACGGTCTCTGACCGTCGGTCACGCAAATGTATTATGTATAATCAAAACCGGGTCAAATAACACGCGAATTAGCTCGCCCGAAACTTCTTTCACAACTCCATGCAATACGGTTATTTCTCGTACGGTCACAATCCTTTATAGCGGCTATCAAAAGTATTTCACACACCACTGTGTTTATTTGTTAGAGGGTATTTATTTACATGCTAATTAATTAGCTTCGTGTGTGTGTGTGTTAATTTATTAAAGGACAACTCGTTTCTCACGTTGTGAAATTTTGTCTTTGAATATTCTTCTGGAAGTGAAGGAGAATTCGGTGGATTCGAGTTTGGACCAAAGGCGGC